ACACCTCCAGGGGGACTGCCGCCCCACAATCCTTTCCCTTCCATTCTCCTCCCAGGATCTTGGGAAGGCACATACATGCACCTGGTGTAAGTTTCAAGCCATGAGCTGGGAGTCAAACTGTGGATGGCCATGTGGGAGTCTAGTGACAACCGCTATGCCATCTGCCAGTCTGATTTAAAAAAAAAACAAACAACGATGATTTTTGGTTACCAGTATACATTTTTCTCTTTATGGCCATGCAGCATATTGGGGAGAACAAAGAACACCCTTTTTTTTTTTAAATAATTAGTCCATTTGATCTTATTTATTTTTGCCATAGGGCGGGCGCTACCACGCCCCGTCCTTATTTATTTTTAATTTGACCAGAGAAGGACAGAGCATGGGGGGCGGCGGGGTGAGAAAGCAAGCCAGCAGGCCCTGGACTCGAACTGCCGTCAGCCATGTAGGAGTCCAGCGCCCTTAACCACCACGCCACTTGCTGGCCCAGGAACACACATCTTATTTTAGGGAACTTCAGGGGAAAGAGGATAAGAACCCAGAAGGACGGCAGGGAGAAAGAGTCACAGACATACTCTTCCTCATCCAGTTGTGCCTGGTATCATAGTATTCTCTGTATTTATGTCATCACATGCCAGCATCCCTAATTCTTAAGTAACATCTGCTTTGTTTAATTATTTAATTTTATTTATGTATTTATTTTGAGAGGTTTTTGCTATAAGGTGTGTGCGTTCGCCAGAAAGACAGAGAGATAGAAAGTGAGAAGTCATCTCCCAGGGGAAATGGCCTCGCTGCAATCCCTTCTCCTCCATTTTCCTCTTGGGATCCTGGGCATGCACGCACACACGCCCGGCTTGAGTTTAAGCCACCAGGTCCAGGACTCAAACCACGGTCAACTACATGGGAGTTCAGCAACATAGCCATTACGCTAACCGCTGGTCCCTATTTATTATTTTTTAAATTTGCTATATATAGGTCATATGCATTCACCAGAGAAAGTAAGAAAGCAAGCCTCCAGGTCCAGGATTCAAACCACAGTTGGTAAACTGGGAGTTCAGCACCTTAACTACCACACCACCTATTGTTCCCCTGCTTTGGTTTTTTTATTTAAGTCATAACGGTTAGGACCAGCAGATGGCATAATGGTTACATCACTGGACTCCCACATTGTCGACCAAGGTTCAAGTCCCAGACCCAGTGGCTTGAAACTTACCTTGGGAGGAGAAGGGATTGTGGCATGGCCAAACCCCCCCCCGGAGGGGGGGGCAGTGATTTCTTATTTTCTGACTCTCTGTCTATCTCTGTCTCTCTGTTGAGTACACACACCCTACAACAAAAAAGCTTAAAAAAAAGTAATAATTGTCATATGTTTTTCAGTTAACAATTAATACATAATATATCAACATAACACCGAGGAGTACTAGTTTCATAAAGTAGTTTTCAAGTCAGGTATATTTTACAAAAGGACCAAATATGAAAATGAACTATGTTTCATTACTTACTAAAATAAGATAGGATTTTGTAGTAATGTGGAATTTATAGTAACATATCTGTCATATCAGTGTCATTTAACCCTAAAAACTCTTACATGATTTTAATACTGAATACCTACAAAAGGAAATAACTCAAGTCCAACAGTACTAAATAGTCTTTTTCCAACAACACAGGACACTTTTCCACAGTCATTTAAAAACACTCCAGTCCAAGTTGCCAAATACATTTATTCCTTTACTCAACATTTATTGAGCACCTACTAAAAGTGCGGGAACATAAAAGAGCGCGATTAGTGGCCAGCAGGTGGTGCAGTGGTTGAGGGCACTGGACTCCCACATGTTGACTACAGTTCAAGTCCCAGACCTGGTGGTTTGCTTTCTCACTTTCCCTCTCTCTCTCATTCTGTCCCTCTTTGATCAACTTAAAATAAGTTAAATAAAAGAATTCTTTAAAAAAAAGAAAGCACGAGACCAGCAGTTAGCGTAATGGCTATATCGCTGGACTCCCATGTAGTCGACCGCAGTTTGAGTCCCAGACCCGGTGGCTTAAACTCATGCTGGGCGCGTGTGCGTGCATGCCCAAGATTCCGAGAGGAGAATGGAGGAGAAGGGATTGCTGCGTGGCCATCCCCCCTGGGGGATGATTTCTCACTTTCTGTCTCTCTGTCTCTCTCTGCCTGTCTGGCGAGCACAAGTGCCCTATAGCAAAAACCTCTCCAAAAAAAAAAAAAGGAAGCACAAATTAGTTTCTCCCCCATGAAGATTACAAAATATATACATAAATTGAACAAAAAGTTTACCTGTGCCCAGAGAGGATAACTTGTCCTCCATTGTTTTTATAGTGGAATTCAATTCAGCTTCCATTTCTTTTTCAAATTCATCTTCACTAGATGATTCACTTTCTCCAGTAAGACACTCTCTGATGAGTTTTCGTTTCTGGTCAGGAGTTCCATGTAAAAGCACATCCACTTCATCTTCAGAGCTAGTAAACATTTAAATCAAAAGGAATATAAGTATTAAAAAATGAAAGTAAATTAAAATTTTCATCATCTCATTGTCCAACAATTTTAAGTTTGACAAGGCTGTATTTGGTATATGTATCATCTTATATGCAGGTATTCTCATTAATGGATCAAATATAATTTTTTATTTCTACATAACACTTCCTCCTGTATATGCTGTTCATTTGTTTCTAAACTCTCTGCTATTAAACAGTACAGTGAAGATGTCTCTCTCTAAAATTTGGTTTCTGTTGACTTCCTTTGGATAAATATCTAGAATAAGATACAAAAACATCTTTCCAAAATCATTGTTCCAATACACAATTCCATCAGCAATGAAAAGTTTACTTCGTAGAACCTCAAGTTTTTATTTTTTAACTCTGGATACTTAGGGTTGGCTGGTAGCATGCTGGTTAAGGTGGCTAGATTCCACATGGCCACTTCACCAGTGAGTCTAGTCCTAGGCCCAGCATCTTGAAAAACACAATGGGCACATATGCATGTGTGCCCCAAACCCCAAGAGAATGGAGGCAGTTTGGTGAGTTAATGGGTGTCTGTTAGGTTTGGTAACTCGGGGTCTAGAAGATGTGGGGGAGGCGTGTAGGAGCTAGCGACTGCGGGGTGTCCACACCCAAAAGTGTTTTTTTAAATTCTCTCTCTCCTGCTCTCTCTCTGGTGAGCACATGTGCACTATGGCAAATTAAAAAAAAAAAAAAAAAAGCACTGGATACTTAAATAATACAATATACATAATTAATATTAGGTAATATATTTATGCAGGATGTCAATAGACAGTAGTTAAATATTACAGTTTAATAGGCACAATTCAGGATGGCAGGTGGTGTGGTGGTGAAGGCACTGGACTCCCACATGGTCGATCACAGCCCCACACCTAGCGGCTTGCTTTCTCACTTACTCACTCTCTGTCCGTCTCTGGTCAGAGTAAAACAATAATAATAAAGTTAAATAATTGTTATTTAAAAATAAATAAAAGGCACGATGCTACAGAAAACTATAAAGAGAAAGCTAAATTTATTCCAAATTCTCTTGTGTGATTTCTGCCAATTTACTTTGCTTCTGTGCCTGAGTTTTCCCATCAATTTTTTAAAAAGAATTATTTAATTAATTATTTATTTATTTACCTTAACTTGACCAGAGAGGGATAGAGTTCGAAAGAGAGAGAGAGAGAGAGAGAGAGAGAGAGAGAGCGAGAGCAGAGCGCGTGCGCACAAGCAAACCACCAGGTCCGGGATTCAAACTGCAGTCGGCCATGTGGGAGTCCAGCATCCTTAACTGCCATGCCACCTGCTGGTCCCCCCATCAATATTAATACGATGTAAATAAGCCAAACCAGGGACCAGCAGTTAGCGTAATGGCTATGTCGCTGGACTTCCACGTAGTCAACCACGGTTCGAGTCCTGGACCCGGTGGCTTAAACACACGCCAGGCATGTGTGCGTGCATGCCCAAGATCCCGAGTGAATGGAGGAGAAGGGATTGTGGCGTGGCCGTCCCCCCCGGAGGGTGATTTCTCACTTTCTGGCTCACTGTCTCTCTCTGTCTTTCTGGCGAGCGCACACGCCCTATAGCAAAAACCTCTCAAAACACACACACACACACACACACACACACACACACACAAACAATACGCCAAACCAAAGTGAAATGTTACTGGGACCAGCAGATGGTATAATGGTTACATTGCTGGACTCGACATAGCCAACAGCAGTTCAAGTCCTGGGCCCAGCGGCTTGAAACTACACCAGGTACTTTAGTGTGTGTGCCCAAAATCCCAAAAGGAAACTGGAGAAGGGATTGCAGCATGGCTAACTTGCCTGGGGGATTTCTTGCTTTCTCTCTTGCTCTCTGTCTCTCCAGCCAGCATACATGCCGTATAGCAAAAAATCTCTCTGAAGAAAAATGTAATGTTACTAAAATGAATTACACTCCTCAGACATTTCTAATACTACCAGTAGTACGTAATGTCTAACTATTCATAGACTAATGAATAGTTACAGACTAATAGTGACTTTCACTTGTCTATTTTCTCTTAAAGAATGTTGAGGCCCCAGTAGAAAATAAATCAGAAAGATGCAAATTCACACCAATAAATTTTCTTTTTTAAAAAATTTTATTATTTTATTTAACTATTTATTTATTTATTTATTATAATTTGACCAGAGAGGAACAGAGAGAGAGAGAAAGTGAGAAAGCAAGCTGCCAGGTCCGGGACTCAAGCTGCGGTCGACCATGTGGAAGTCCAGCGTCCTGAACCAACACACCAATAAATTTTATTAATGAAAAAGGACTCAGCCAGAATTTTCCATCTGACATTGTTCATCCTGATCAGCATGTTACCTTCTTCATTACCACTATGCTCACTAAGGTCTTCCCCTAACTCCACCTGTACTACCACATCCTAAGTCTCTCTAGGCCTCCACATCCCTGCTTCATTCCACCCTTAACCCTACTGCTGAAATGCCGCCCCCAAAGAACTCTCAGCATATCACTACCAACTTGGGAGCCTCAAAACCTTATTCAAAATAGCTTTCCACAATCTGGCTACAAATTATCTTTTCAACCTTACTTGCCACTATTATCCTCTCTCTACCCCAGTGATTCTCAACTATGGGCAATTTTGAGAACATCTGGCATAGCTAGAAACATTTCTGATTGTTACAATTGGTGGTAGGGAGAAGAGGTACTGGCATCTAGTATGTAGAGTCCAGAGATGCTAACAAACATCCTAAAACACACGAGACTCCCTCACAACAAAGGACTTCTCGACCCAAAATGCCAATGCTTTAGGGTTGAGAAACTCCGTTCTATATTCCAATATTTTCAAAATATGGGACAGAGGAGATTGTTTTACGTAGTAGCAAGATGAACAGCCACTAAGTGACACTGAATCCAGTACTGGTAGGAACATAAAATGGTACAGCCACCTTAGAAAAGTTTGGCCATTTCCTATAAAACTAAACATATGGGACCAGCAGATGGTGTAATGGTTACGTCGCTGGACTCCCATATAGTTGACCATGGTTTGAGGTACCGGAATCGTAGGCTTAAAACTCATGTTGGGCCTGTGTGCATGCATGCCAAAAATCCTGAGGGGAGAATGGAGAGGGTTGGCCTTGTGGGAGTCCAGTGACTTTAACCACCAAGTCACTTGCTGGCCCCAATAAATTTTTTTTTTTTTTAAAAAGGAAAAAAAAAAAAGCCAATCCCAAAGGTTATTTCTATGGTCTGAATCCCACTCCCCCCCTCCCCCAATTCACATGTTGAGACAGGATTTAAGAGAGGGAAAACTTAATCCAACTGTGGTATTAAAAGGTGGGTCCCATGGACATTAGGATTAAGGCAAGTAGAGCAGGACCCCATGGTTGACTCCAGGTAAGTTTACAAGGAGGGACAACAGGGCCAGACAGAGACACAAGAACACAGATTCATGTACTCTTCCCCCTGTGTGCTAATGCAGCCAGAAGACTCTCACCAGATACAGCCCCTGAGCCTTAGACCTCCAAATCATGAGCTGAATAAATTTCTATTCTCTTAAATTACCCCAGACTACGGCATTATGTTACTACAAAGGACTAAAATAAGTATGTTAATTGGGGAAAACTGGGTACTATTTACTGCCTGCTATTAAAGAGGTGGATTCGCCAAGCTCAAGTGTTCTTTAGCCATAACGCCAACACACTTAATGTGCAGCATTCATCTAGGCCCCTCAGTGTAGGGTGGAGAAGCAAGAACTGCCAACACAAACATGATGCTCAGGCTGCTTGCTGTGCTATGAAGGGTCTTTCATCTCAGACCCAGGAGTCTCACGTCCTCTGTGAGACAGACTATAATATATCAACCTGTAATCAAATCCTGACAGACACCTAAACACCATTCTTCCTGTTTTTTTTAAAAAAGAATTGTTTGTGTTTTAATTTGACCAGAGGAACAGAGAGAGAGAGAGAGAGAGAGAGAAGGAGGGAAAATGAGAAAGCAAGCTTCCAAGTCTGGGACTCAAACTGCAGTTGGCCATGTGGGGAGTCCAGTGTCCTGGTACATCACGCCATCTGCCAGCCCCACTTTTTTTTTTTTTTAAAGAGGTTTATATTTTGAGACCAGCAGTTAGCATAATGGCTACATCACTGGACTCCCATGTAGCTGGCCACGGTTCGAGTCCTGGACCCGGTGGTTTAAACTCACGCCAGGCACGTGTGCATGCATGCCCAAGATCCCGAGAGGAGAATGGAGGAGAAGGGATTGCGGTATGACCATCCCCACTGGGGGGTGATTTCTCACTTTGTCTCTCTCTGTCTTTCTGGCGAGCGTGTGCGCCCTATAGCAAAAACCTCTCTCAAAAAAAAAGAGGTTTATATTTTTGCAGATACTTAACCAGTGTTACCTGTCACAACAATAAAGTTTCCTTAAGGAAATTTAACTACGATAATATAAATAGACAAAGAAAAAGATTAATAACACATATACATGTATGAAGATTGTAATGGCAGAATAATTCAAATCCAGGAAACATTGCCATGTTACAAACTGAATTACAAAGTAAGGCCTATGTATATACCTCCTTTCAAGGACAGGACCCATGAACTGAAACTTGCTCACAGGGAATTCTAGTATCTACGTTCTCTACAACAAAAATCTTCAGAGCAGACTGATCTCCCGTACCTTCGATCTTTCACTGGTATGAGGAAACACTGTGAATAAAGGAGTTATAACACACAAAACATCATCAGACAGCCCTCCGACTTGCCATCCTCGGGGCCATAGCAGCTGTCGCACTCCCAGGGTGGCCAGGAGCCAAAACCCCGCGTGCTTTCTGCACCGCAGTGCTGTGTCTCTGGCCTGTACTGTTTGGAGACCTGGCCGCGGTACAACAGAAAGAACAGGCAGAAGTAAAAAGCTACAGAAGAGAAAGGCACTACCTCCTAGGACAGAGGAAATGGCTGCTGACCAGGACTGGCCTAGTGTTTACCCTGTCGCAACACCATGTAAACCCTCTACAGGACCTCTTCCTGTATGGATGGGTTATCTGGTGCAAAAGGGCCTGTCCATGGTAAAGGAGGGGAATCTGGAACTTTTAAAGATACCCAATTTTCTGCATTTGACTCCTGTACCAATTAAAAAGCGTTGTGAAGCTCTTAAAGATTTCTGCACTGAGTGGCCCACCGCGGTAGACAGTGATGCCGCGGTAGACAGTGATGCGAAATATAAGAAGCATTTCCGATTGAAATCGACACAGCTATGTTTCATCAGGACCATCTACTCAAAATCCCAGAGCACAGTGGTAACCTTAAGGGTTAAATTTTCCAGTTTGAATTTAGATGATCATGCAAAGTAACTTACTAAACCTGTAGGAGAACGATACTGCAAGACCACAGATGTGCTTACCATCAAAACAGATAGGTGCCCTTTAAAAAGACAGAATTATGGGACCAGCAGTTGGCATAATGGCTGTATCATTGGACTCCCATGTGGTTGACCACAGTTTGGGTCTTGGACTCGGTGGCTTAAACTCACACCAGACGTGCGTGCATGTGTGCCCAAGATCCCAAGAGGAGAATGGAGGAGATTCCAGGAGGGGGATTTGTCACTTTCTCTCTCTGCCTCTCACTTTCTGGCAAGCGCCAGAAAGCAAAAGCCTCTCATTAAAAAGAAAAGAAAAAGAAAAAAGGAATGGGGGAAGACCAACAGATAGAGTAATGGTTACATTGCTGGACTCCCATATGGTCAACTATGGATAGAGTTCCAGACTCCAGCGGCTTAACATGCTGAGCACATGTGTATGCATGCCCAAAATCCCAAAAGGAGAATGGAGGAAAAGGGACTGGGTGACTAGCCCCCACCCCAGTGTTTTCTTGCTTTCTGCCTCTCTGGTGAGCACACATACCCTATAGCAAAAACCCCCCTCAAAAAAAAAAAAAAAAAAAACAAGCAAAAAACTAAATTTGCCTAGAAATCTTTTGACCACTTAACTACAAATTTCCCTCAGGTTAATCTCTCCCTATCAGAAATTTCAACAGAATTTCATGCATGCCTGTCAGGACAACTTTTCTTTTTAAAAAAATTTTTGCTATAGGATGCGTGCACTCACCAGGTAGAGCCAATGAGAAGGAAGGTGAAAAATCATCCCACGGGTGTGTGTGTGTGTGTGTGTGTGTGTGGCCCCACAGCCATCCCTTCTCCACCACTCTCATCTTGGAATTTGGGGCAGGCACACACGCTTGCCCTGCGTGATTCTCAGGCCAGTAGGTCCAGGACTCAAACTGAGGTTGGCCATGTGGGAGTCTAGCACCTTAACCACACCACTCCTGCTGCCCCCCAACACTTTCCACAATGTTCTTCTAAGATAAACCCTCCTTATTTCTGCTATTATTCTGTGAGCCTGTGGAAGACAAGGATCTTATCATACACCTCTGTAGCTCAAAGAAAGCACCTAAGAGTAAAAAAGCCAGCCAGATGGCTTGGTGGTGAAGGCAGCTGGATCCCAATGGGAGGACAGACATAGCGCAAGCTAGGTGGCGTGCGTGGAGGCCCAAAATCCCAATGAAGAAAGGACTGCGTCCTGCCACCCCCTTTAGCGATGCGCTCTCTCCGACCCGGCCGCAAGCGCACGCGCACTGGAGCAAATTTCGTTTAAAAGCCTGTTCCATATTATTCCTTTTTGTTACGGCAGCTTAGTCAACATGGGCACTTCACATTAAATCCCGTGGGTCTCTCAACAAACTTACGATAGTTACTACATTTCCACGTTATCGGGAAAAACCGAAGATTCGCGACTTGCCCGACAGTCATGCTGCTATTAAGCTGCAGCGGCAGCACTAGATTTCAGTCCAGGACTCAAACTGAGGTTGGCCATGTGGGAGTCTAGCACCTTAACCACACCACTCCTGCTGCCCCCCAACACTTTCCACAATGTTCTTCTAAGATAAACCCTCCTTATTTCTGCTATTATTCTGTGAGCCTGTGGAAGACAAGGATCTTATCATACACCTCTGTAGCTCAAAGAAAGCACCTAAGAGTAAAAAAGCCAGCCAGATGGCTTGGTGGTGAAGGCAGCTGGATCCCAATGGGAGGACAGACATAGCGCAAGCTAGGTGGCGTGCGTGGAGGCCCAAAATCCCAATGAAGAAAGGACTGCGTCCTGCCACCCCCTTTAGCGATGCGCTCTCTCCGACCCGGCCGCAAGCGCACGCGCACTGGAGCAAATTTCGTTTAAAAGCCTGTTCCATATTATTCCTTTTTGTTACGGCAGCTTAGTCAACATGGGCACTTCACATTAAATCCCGTGGGTCTCTCAACAAACTTACGATAGTTACTACATTTCCACGTTATCGGGAAAAACCGAAGATTCGCGACTTGCCCGACAGTCATGCTGCTATTAAGCTGCAGCGGCAGCACTAGATTTCATGGCTTCTGAAGATTGAGGTCCTTCTGATTCCAGACCAGCCTCTCTCTTTCCTGCGCCAGGGTCAGACCTGCCTTCCCGCCAGCTGCGCGACCCCACCAGGATTCCCCGCTGGCCTCCACAGTCGACAGTGGGGCGCCACAGACGCCCGAGCCGCCCGTATCACTTAGCAGGCGCGGCGAGTGGAGACGGCCAAGGCCCGACCTCGTCCCAAAGCCTACGGGCCAGGGTGGGGCAGAAGCCCACCTGCTCAAGGCCGGCTCCTCGTCGCTAGGCTCTTCAACCGCGTAGGGGTCGTAGTCATCCTGGAGCCTGCTCATGTCGACGGGCAGCAGCTTACACAGTCCACAGGCGCCGCCGTCGTCTGTTTACTCCGCAAGTCCCTCCCATAAAGCGTCCCGGACTCCACTTCCGGCCGCACTTCCGAGTCCTCCCTGTGCGCCTGCGCAGACCCTCTCGGCGGGGGCCCGGGAGAGCGGACGATGACAGTCCCGCCCGAGCTCTCCGGAAGTTCCGTTTAGGTGGGAGGGACTACGTGGTTACCCGAGGTAGCAGTGGTGTGCACCCTCGTAAACTGCAGTCTGCGGTGAACGCTCTGTACGTTCTCTCCTCACCTACGAAGCAGAAGTCTAAACGCCGAGGGACACGTAGCCTGAAACCCAGCGGTTACCCAGACACCCGCACCCGACGTCCGTCCCGCGTGTGTGCTCGAGCCCTTCCGCCTGCCTGTCACTCGCGGCCCACCGCCTCGCCCTGACACTTCACCTGCAGCCTGACTTCGGACCGACTGTTTACCACCAAGTTGCCCGCTCTCGGCCTCTCCTCAGTCCTCTTCCTACTCAGCCCTCATCCCATTCGGCTCTATACTTGAGAAAACGCAGATGGCAGCGTCTTGATGGAGAGACTATGTCCTCCGGTTTCGGACCAGTCTGTGCTCGAGTTCCTGCCTTCTAGGGCAGCTCTCCCATGCTCGATCCCTCCCAGAGCCCCGTCTTTATCTGGTCCCTGCCTTCTCTGGTCCTTTGCCACATTTCCATTGCCTGTTACAGTAAATTGTCTCCACCTGCTACACCACTGGCAGCCCAAACTCCACGTGGCCCAGATCCCACTCAGTATCTTCCACCCCATTCCTGCACATCAGCCATTAGCTACTTTGAGCTCAGAATTTCTGCTCATGCTGTTTCCTCCAGGTTTCCAACTGCTTTGGGTGAAGGCCTTGGAATCTTTATTTCTTTCTCTATCCTTGCATGATCTCTCAATTCACAAGTCTTGTAGATTTTTCAGCTGGTCCCAGAGAGCATCCACATCCCGTCTCCACTCCTCATCTTTGCTGATAAAGGCTCCTAATTGACAGATTTTTCAGTCTTTTCCTTCTCCAATCATTCCACAGTCCGTTGGCAGAGTGACCCTCATCCAACACAACTCTACTTTCAATGAATTCCTTCCTCATAAAGTCTGACTACAATATTTCACCTTTACCTGCTGTGTCTGTTCACCACAGCCCGTGGTATTCTTGCCCCTCCAAAATATGGTTCAATCCATCATGCAAACACATTTCCAGCTACACTCCTACATATATGCAGCATAATTTGCAGATTCCAGAGTATTCTCTCTTTCACTGTAAGGCTCTTCATTGCCTCATTCTCTTGAGTACTCTCCCCTTTTAATTCTAATGTCCAGTTTCCAAAGATCCTGCTGCAACTTGAAGTGATTGGACAGAATGACCCTTAGCACACTTTTCAGTTCCTGTAGTTATAGGAACTCACACTGTATATATTCTCTGATGCCTTTGCAGATTCTCCTTCCAATGGAATTTTTCTCTGCTTTAAATTCATTTTTGTTCTGGGACCAGCAGTTGGCGTAATGGCTATGTCGCTGAACTCCCACGTAGTCGACCGCGGTTCGTGTCCCGGACCCGGTGGCTTAAAACTCAGGCCGGGTGTGTATGCATGCGTGCCCAAGATCCGGAGAGGAGAATGGAGGAGAAGGGATTGCGGTGTGACCATCCCCCCTGGGGGGTGATTTGTCGCTTTCTGTCTCTCTGTCTCTCTCTGTCTTTCTGGCAAGCGCACACACCTTATAGATAAAACCTCTCCAAAAACAAGAAAGAAAAAAGAAAAAGAAAGAAAGAAAATGTAGTAATTAACCACTCCAGAGAAAAATAGGTCCTCGCACTGGGTTCTACTGTAAGTCTAGGCTTATCCAGAACTTTGAGAGTCTCTGTCCTGAATGGATGATGAAGTATTCAAGTAAAAGGTTCCGAGTTGTAAGTGCGAGTTTCTGAGGGGTACTGCCTCAAAGCAGGCTCAAGAAGAGCCACATCCTCCAGTTTATTCCTTTTTTGGGGCGGTCTGGGTCTGGGACGCAAACCGCCATCAACTACGTGGGAGTCCAGTGACATAGCCATTACGCTAACTGCTGGTCCCCCAGTTTATTCCAAGGCTGGATAGTCCTGGGATGATCAGCTCACTTTCCTTCTGAAGAGTTCTGACAATTCATTAGCCTCAGGATTCAGTTCTTACAAAACATTCTTTCACACTGAGAAAGACTCAGCCCCATGAAATAAGATCTCCTCGCTTATCCTCCGGCTTCTTGAACTCGAATATGCATCCGCTGCTCAAGAGCAAGAGCGGCTCCCTGCTCCGTGAGGACGCTGATCTGATCCAGATAAGGCTGCAGTCAGCATACTTCTGGTTTAAGTCCTTTACATTTCTACTAATGTTTATAGCAATATCTTTCATTTCAAGGTACTTCAAGCTGGTTAGTTTATTCGTATTTTCCAGGAGCTTACAGTCTTCACTGGTAGCCGTCAGCTCCCCAATCAGGTATGTGGCCATCTTGGAGAACATGTCCTCAGCAGTCTCCACGTCAGCATCGTCTGGAGCGGGCTCCTCACGTCGTATCGCCGGGACACCCTCAGTGGCTGCTGCCATGCTATTGCAATGAACAGTCTAGAGCATAAAAGTTAGGCTGCAAAATAAAATCACTAGGGGAATTTTGAAATTATCAAAGTAAAGACCATAGCACGGGGGCCAGGTGGCGTGGTGGTTAAGGACACTGGATTCCCACATGGTTGACCCTGGTACAGTCCCGGACTTGGCAGCTTGCTTTCTCTCTCTCTTTTTCTCTCTCTCTCTCTCTTGCTCGCTCATTCAGTCCCTCTCTGGCCAAATTAAAATAAATAAATAAATAAATAAATAAAGTTAAATAAAATAATTATTTATAAATATGTCGGCACAGACCAATTAAATCAGAATCACTGTTCTAGAGGACTGATTTCATTTACCATCATCTTTAAAGTGATAATGAACATGGATTCTTATTTGAGTGTCCCAGAATTCAAATCTTTTTCTTTTTTTCCAGAATTAAAATCTAAAGAACTTTTCAGACCATCAAAGTGCCTTTCAGTGTCCTGCAGTAATATGGAATCTGAGATACTAAGAATATCATAAATAATAATTGGCTGACATGTGTTAATGTGTTGAATATGAGGGAGGAGTCACAGGGTGAGAAGGCCAATTAAACAATGAGGATCCGCCCTGCAGTCAAGATGCAGAGTGGCAGGCACTCATAGATTGTCTAATCAATGACTAGGTTTATCTACTGGAGTGCTTCTAGGTATACATTTAAACCCAAGTAAAATTCACACATGTCTCCCCTGGAACAGAGAGAATAGTTAACTTCGAGTAACAAAACAAAGTACACCTTATCTTGGCCCTGGATCCTTGACTGAGGCCTTGAGTATTGCAGGATGTCAAAGGCAGCCTCTTTGATGATAACTGCATTCAAAATCCTGAAATGTTGGGAACTAGCAGTTAGTGTAATGGCTATGTCGCTGGACTCCCATGTAGTCGACCGTAGTTCGTGTCCCGGACCCGGTGGCTTAAAACTCACGCCGGGTGCGTGTGCCTGTGTGCCCAAGATCCCGAGAGGAGAGTAGAGGAAGGGATTGTGGTGTGACCATCCCCCCTGGGGGGTGATTTCTTGCTTTCTGTCTCTATGTCTCTCTGTGTCTTTTTTTTCTGCCACCTGCTTCTAAAAGAAGAGTCGCACCCAAAATGGCAAGGTTTTATATTTTTTCTCATTGCTTGAAGCCAGTCGAAGTCAACACTATTTAAACTAAACAGCAACAAACAAGTCATTGGAATCATATTCAGACAGGCAGTGGAGCACCCTCTAGATAAGTCATCCTTTTGGTACTTTTATTTCCAATATAGTCTGAATAATCCTGTACTGGTGCACTGTGTAACCTGATCACAACATCAAACTGGTTCAGGGCACGGCCCAGTTCTCGTCCACGCAGTATCCCACCACTCCCAATAACCACACAAGGCCAACAAGTCTTGGCTTTCAAGTGTTCAGGAAAGTCGTGGTCAGGCAATATTTCCAAGAACATCTGGACTTGACTGGAGAACTTCGGGAACTCAAAGGGAGGATCATACTTATACTCAGCTTCACTTGCTCTGGGGTCCTTCTGCACGAAAGGCAATACGTCCATGTGACACCTGTGCTCAAATCACAGCGCCATGGGCGTGTTCGCAAAGTTGGGCCAACGTTCCTGTTGCAAGATTGCTGGGCATGTTTCTGGGCTCTTTTAACGTTGTCAGGGTCCACATAGTGTGTGTTTTTCGGGTCGCATTCTTCAGTAGTATAATTTGAGAATATAAAGGTTGCATACTCCAAACACCAGCAACGTACATTTGAGGATGTCTTTTAACTGCAAGCTAAGTCTTCTCATCTTGTTTTTTGTTTTGTTTTGTTTTGGTTTTGTTTTGTTTTGAGAGATTTTCCCTATAGGGCTCATGCGCTTACCAGACAGAGACATGGAGACAGAAAGTGAGAAATCACCCCCCAGGGGTGATGGTCACGCCGCAATCCCTTCTCCTCCAGGGATCTTGGGCACGCACACGTGCCCGGTGTGAGTTTTAAGCCACTGGGTCTGGGACGCGAACCACGGTCGACTATGTGGGAGTCCAGCAACATAGCCATTACGCTAACTGCTGGTTCCCCTCATCTTGTTTTGAGCTGGGGTGTACCATGGCAGGGGAGACCTTGAGCAATCATGCCCGTTTCATGCAGTTGTATTCACTTGGCATTGCCTGGCCAGCAGGTGCCGCTGCTGCAGCCTGGGTTTGCAGCTGCAGGGGACGGCTGCTCCGGCTGCCTGCTGACTTTGTCCCATAAAGGAGAAGGGGCGACAGGCGGCTGTCCTGGCCCCCACTGTAATGGCCCCCCCACTGGTGCCCATTTGGCCTGGCCATGCTCTCCCCCAGGCGGATTCAGAGGAACCACACTGTACGATTTAAGTCCTGGACCTGGTGGCTTAAAAAATATGTGTGCCCAAAATCCTGAAAGGAGGGAGTTACGGTGGAGCAGAAGTTGCAGCATGACCATTCCC